ACTGAGCCTGAAAGCAAAACCCCTCGCAACCATGAGTTCACGGCTTCTGGAGATGCATAGGCTTGGGGACTTTTACAGGATCTAGATTTTTCTGATGGGACGGGGTCAAGGGTAGCGACGGCTGTACGGGTTTTGGTGGTCTCCGCAGGTGGGGGGGGGAAGCCCAAGCCCCCAACTAAGCCAAGCTGCTACTGCAGGAGCCTGATGAACTAATTAGACAGACCTGGAAGTACCCCGCAAGTTTTGGAAACTCAACGTTGCTGTCGTCGGCTTGGCTAGAGGAATCACAGCTTTAAATTTTGCTCGCGGCAGTTTCTCCGCTCTGCTGAGGCGAAAGCGTATCTGAGATGGACCTATGTCTATAGACGTTTCATTGCGGGCGACCCGCTATCGTTTTAGCGTTCTCAGGATCAGGTAGAAGCAGGTCTCAAGCACCGGCCGAACAACCATTGTTCTGCTGTCGCTGGGGCCAGTTCACTGGACTTGCCCTTGCCGAGCCTTATGCCCTGTTGGGCTTCAATTCTACAAGCTATACAGTAGGTCAGTAGGACTGATAACGATTAATGAAACCTACGCCCTAAACCCTGAAATCATACAATGTTCGATCAAATCTTGATACACCCGTAATTGTAAAGGCTGAGAGCTTATTTAGAGCGGTTCAGGGAACAGCGGTTCAGTGTATGGACACAGGTGCCTCGCATTGAGAGGAAAACGGTTTGGAGCTGCGTTTGATATTTGGTTGCTCTGCCAGGCTGCTAGGTTTTGGCTTTCGGATACTGGGCTTCTGAGAACAAGGGGCTGCAATTGGAATCTTAAGATCGAATAACTAGAATGCTTGGTCTAAGGAGAGCAAACTAGGCATCCCCAGTTGTTTGAAATCCCGAGTCAGGGATTTTGCTGGGTTTGGGGCTCCCATGAGGCATGACACGATCCCGGATCTATTTCCGAAAGGTTCATTCATTAGTATCTGTATAGGCGAGACTTACACAAACGACAAGATCTCTTCCTAAGAAACCCTCCGGTACTCTGTAATGCATTATGCTATTGGGGCCTGAAACCAGTTCTCACTACTCAGACTGCTATCGTGAGCAGTGCCGAAGCCCCATCCCGTATTTCAATCCTACTTCCAAATGCCCCAACTGTTCCCGATCAAGCTTCCAGGAGTCCCCGAATGGGTAATGAAGTACTTGGAGGATCATGGGACTTAGTAAGTAAGGTTATGAGTACCATATCTGGGGTTACAAGTAGTTGCCACCCCAAATATATCCGTGGTTACTAAGTCCCATGATCCTTGAAGTAGTACCGGGGCCTGTATAGTCCGTAGTAGCTGAGTGGATACACTTTACACTTTCTTGGATAATATCACCCACTATGAAGTTGAAAGTGTAGATTATTGGGGCGTATGAACTCAGCAACTAAGAATCCATCAAAGCCATTGCTGCTCAGGGTTCCTAAGATTGCTCAAAGAAATACCTTGAACTAGTTTTAGAAGGTCTATTGTAGAACACCGACCCTGCAAAAGCAGCTACGTTTCGGCAGTTCAAGGTAGAGTCACCCAAGGCTCGGCTTTTGCATGAAGTAGTCTTGAGGTTCGGGTCCGCGGTAGGGTTTTCTGATTTAGGGTTTGGGCGGGGGGGCCTTTGGACTAAGGGTTTAGGGTCTTCGGGTTTGCTGTGGACTTCTTCGTTGACTCAGATACCCAGCTAAGCCCCAAATCTCACATGGAGCTCGGCACTCTAAACCCTATTTCTACATCCCAAACTTATAAACCCTAAACCCTTTTTCGAAACCCTGGACCCTAAATTCTACATCCAAACCGAAACCCGTGACCCTTTTTCGAAACCCTGGACCCTAAATTCTACATCCAAACCTAATCCCCAAACCCTTCTTCGAAACCCTAGACCCTAAATCCGAGACCGAAATATTCTAAACCCTACGCCCCTGTTCGAAACCCTGGACCCTAAATTCAACACCCTCAATTCCCTAAATCCGAGACAGGAGCCCCTAAACCTTCCCCAAAACCCCTCGAAACCCCCGTGCCACGTCGTGGCTCGTAGAGATCATCGAGCCAAGGCCCTTCCGAAGCTATAAGTTCATATCATTACATCAGATGTATGTGGGTGTATTATATATATATATGGTAACCATATGAGTGAATATATTTATACGTATATGTGTAGGTTTATATTTATATTTTTATGTACATGCAGACAGAGGGACATACAAGCATGTGCCTGGCGTGCAATCCCAGCCAGTATTCACCTAAGCCTTGCATCCCTACAGCCTAAAGCTCCAGGTGCAATAGCACGACCTTCGCTTCTACAACTACGATTCTAAGTCATGCGGCAAGCAATGCTTCCGCTACTGCCGCCACGACGAACACTGCACCACCAGAACTAAAGCCACAAGTCTATTCTTATGCCAAAGATCTGCACCCTTCTTCACGCTTCAAGTAAAGATGCCGAAAGAAGTGTCCGGCGTGTTGGTCACCGGCGATGCCTCCATCATTACGTACGTGAAGCGCGGGACCCAAGCATAGTTGCTTCTTGTACTTGAGGTTGGCTGAGCCTCGTGTACTTGAGGTCGGCTTGGACACATTTGTCTTGCTAACTCGAGTTTGAAAACTGTCGGGGTTAGGGTCCTTTCTTAGGGCAGCTTTCTAAAGCAAGGATCGCATTAACTGCTTGGGGGTCTCGACCAACCATTGCAACTTATGTATGGTCCTGTATCCTGAAACACCCAAACATCAAAATCTAAGCCCTAAACCCTAAACCCTGAAGAACCAATAGTCTGATTACGGCTCTTGTGGTGACGGCGCACGTCGCAGATTATTCTGTGCTTGCATGTCCCTGTCGTTTTCTGTCTTCGGAGATTCGGCAACAACTGACTGTGCTCTGATATTGTGGGACACCCGAATGAGTTCATCGACAGGTTCCACGGTGCGGACAAGGCGAGGGCCGCACTATGCGGACATATATGAGGCAATCACAGTAACGATCCCTATTCATGTAGGCTTCCTGTAATCTTTTTCGGAACATGTTATCTTGACTATTATCTTGTTTTTGTTATAGTATTATGTTCAGGTAAACCTCGCCCACCTCCCCTCTAGGATTTAACTTTGCATGCCCATCATGCGCTATACTATACCATAATACTAGTATCGTATACCGTATCCCGCCGAAGCCCTGTTTTCATTGTCAAGGCCGCCGTGTTGCACCCCTACAAGAATCCGGCATAGAGCCTTTCTTATGAAACCCTGTCAAGGAATCCTAGTTGATTTTTAAGGCCCGTTCCCTAAACCGCTCCAAAACCTACATCCCCAAACCCGAAGCCCCTATGTAAGCCCAAAGCAACACACGATACACTATACCATAGTTCAACTGTAGATCACCTCCTAAACCCTAAACCCCCAAACCCTAATCCTGAATCCCTAAGTTCTAAACACGAGATGATATTGCAACTTCAGATCACCCCCTATAGCTCCAACCCTAAACCCCCAAATCCTAAACCCTGAACCCCTAAACTCTAAACACTATACCCTGGGCATCAAGGTAGCCCAAAAGCCTTACATAGTATGGTCTTTGGGCCCAAAAACCTCAATACATGAGTCCTTAGACGCCCCGGGATATTGTAGTTCCTGTTTGGGGTTACCTTATAGGATCCTTAATGTAGAATTGGTTAAACCAAAAAAAGGACCTACAATTGAAACTGTAGGTATATTGCAACTGTAGATAGCTGAGTGGATACACTTTACACTTTTTGGTATAAGATTACCTTCTATAAAGCTGAAAGTGTAAACTTTTGGGGGCTTATGAAAGCAGCAACTCAGTACAGGGATATCCGATTCCCTAAACCCCAAATCCTACACCCTAAACCCTGAACCCCTAAGTTCTAAACACTATATTGCAACTCTAGATAGCTGAGTGGATACACATTACACGTTTTGGTATAAGATTACCTTCTTTTTAGAACCCCTAAGTTCTAAACACTATATTGCAGCTCTAGATCACCGAGGCATGTTGGAAACACACGGGAGGCGTCTGCACACCAGGCCTTCGGGTGCATGCGCCCACCTTTGAAGGGTTCCCTTTTAAGGATTCCTTTACGGGTTCTATATAGGGTTTCGTGTTTAGGGGTTTAGGGTGTAGGGGTTTAGGGTTTAGGGGTTAGTTTAGGGTTTGGGATTTTATGTGGTCGATTATCTATTTGGGTACGTCCTTTAATTTTCGATGGTTCTCTACAGACCCTACTATTTCTTTGGGCACGTGCGAAAGAGTGGTTGTCTAGCGTCTACTATCTATTTTGGGCACATGCATCCTCATTGAGAAGGGTGTCGTTTTCAGTTCTGTGTCAAGGCTCTGGGCTTGGGGGGCGTAGTGTTTAGGATTTCCCTCTAAACTTAGGATGTCCTTAAGGGGGGGTGGTCCAAGGGGGGTAGGTAACCTAGCAATCCCCATTATTCCCCAATACTCCCTAAGCTTCCCTAAGGTTCCCCAAAGCTCCCTAGTACCCTCCCCCCTTGAACCACCCTCCCTTAAGGATCCTATAATAAACCCTAGACCCCTCAACCCTAGACCCCTACACCCTAAAGCCCCAAACCCCTAAACCCCAAATCCCCAAAGCCCTAAACCCCTAAAGCCTAATTCGTAGAAGCCTAAACCCTCAACCCCAACGTTCCAAAGAGGGGTTAGGGTTCGTTTAGGGTTGAGCGGTTTAGGGCTTTATTCAGGGTCCAAGTATCAAGATCTTATCTACTTTTGGGTTGAAAAATCTACGAAGAGCCTACTAAATGGGCTTTTGGACTGATGAGTTCTTCGCAGAAGAGACGCCTGAAACTTAAACCCTACTGCAGCAACTGCTGGCAGTGCTCCATTTTGGAGCTCGACGACAAGAACGTCTTCTGTTCCGGCAGCAAGGCAGGCATGCTGTGTTCGCGAATACTTATTATGTGCTGTCATTTCGCTGACTGAATTTCACGACTGGCTGTTTTATGGTATGATATGGCAGGCCTTGATGTCCCTCCTATGCACAACCCTTTCATGGATGTCTTGCTGTTACGTTCCTTTGGGCTGGCTAGGCAAAGCTCAGCACTCGCCAGCCCACGCAGGACGTCAGCAAGTGGTTGCAGAACAAGGTCGATGCCTTCGTGTCCAAGAACCTGCCTCTTGCCTGTAAGGTAGTAACCTTAGGCTGAACTCTACTCTACTTATGCTTAATAGCTGAGTGGATACACTTTACACTTTTGGGGATAATATCACCCACTATAAAACTGCAAGTGTACGCTGTTTGGGGCTTATGAACTCAGCAAGTAAGTAGGGCTACTTATGGTTAAGCCATCCCTTTTTGAAAGGACAACACGGGCTGTGTTTTATACATCATGTGCAACTGTTTGCGAAGCTTGTCCCATGAGACTCGAGTGTGGAAGGCTGCAGGTGCCACATCTCGTTCGTAAGCACTACTCATGCAGCCCCAGGTGGCACATACTCCGAATCAAGCCCTTGCAGACCTTCAGCCCCCGAAACCCTTGTAAACTACTACGACAAGCCCTACAAAATCATATCGCACAATGCCCATGAGATTGGAGAAAAGAGCGGCAGAATCCTATCAAAGCCTATTTTGAAAAAGCTACCCCCCCCCCCCCCCCCCCGGCCCCATGTGAATTAAACCTTGCAAGAAACTCCAAACCCTACAAAACCCACGTGAGGCTGGAACCTCCAGAGGACACCGTCAGCTTTCAGCCGGCGGGGCCCTTTCCGCATTGCGGGGCTTAGAGGTTTTAACACCCTGCCTGATCCCCCAAGGACAATAACTCATGCATTCGTTTATTCACTCATTCATGGGTTAAGTCATTCATTCACTCATTCATTCAGTCGTGCACTCACTCACTCAGTCACTCACTAATTCACTGATGAATTCATTCACTCAGTCGCTCATTCACTCGCTCACTCACTCACTCACTCACTCACTCACTCATTTATGCATTCATTCAGTCAGTCAACTCATTCATTCAGTCAGTCAGTCATTCATGCACTTACTCATCCGTTCATTTTTTCATTCACTCATTCATTCATGCTTTCTTTCTTATTTGAGTCACTCACTCACTCGCTCACTCACGCACTCACTCTTACTCCCATTCGCGCTCAGTTCATTAATTCTTTCATTCATTCATTCACTCACGCATTCATTCAGTAATTCACTCACTCATTCAGTCATTCATTCTTAGTTCATTCATTCAGTCATTCATTCATACGTGCATGCACTCATTCCCTCATTCACTCAATCCGCATCCCCGCACTAATTCATTTATTCGTTCGTTCACTAACTCACTCACAAACACTCACTCACTCGGTCACTCACTCACTCACTCACTCACTCACTCACTCATTAGTTCCTTCCTTCATTCATTCATTCATTCATTCCTCAACCTAAGAAAGGTAGGTGTTGCAGTGTTCATTCAGGTAATGCCTGAGAAGAGAACCCTACTCTAAAACCAAAGCAGCGATAGTCAGTCCTGGCTCCCAAGCCCAAAATGCCATACAGTTGAAGCCAGAAAGTTGGAGCATGGATTTAGGAGGATTAGTGCTAGGATCCCCTATACTTTACCTTTACGGCATGGGGACAATGATGTTCCAACTTTCTGGCTTCTACCATATCCCTCTTGGCCCCCTAAACCGAAGGGTCCACGGGTACTCATTTCTTAGATACTTGGGTTAGCAGCAATAGTTGTGCATGTTTTTGAGGGGGGGCAGAGTATATGGTTATATGGTACTTGGACCCTTAGGGTACATCCCTCAACACTAAATTCGCCTGCGCTTTGATTTGGTTCGGGTTCAGGGCTGGGGGCTCGGGCAGCTAGGTTTGGGGCTTAGTGTAAGGGATGGGGTTCAGGCCAAGTTTAGCCGGTTAGTGGCTTCTGGCTTAGAGATCTAGCAGTGTCGGCCGAGAACCAGCTAAGAGCAGGGTGTAGTGTTCAGGCCCCGAAGGGCGCAAGTCATCCTTGCCATACTTTGAACAACTTAGTTGTTTGGTCATGGTAAGTCGTGGCTAACCTGTGTGCTAAATCGAAAAAAGGCCAGTGCTGGCAAGCACATGTGCCTGCCTGAATCCCAAACCACGGAACCCCTGATGCCGATGAGCGCTTGCAGACAAGCATAAGACACACAGATCTTCGAGATAATGAAGAATTCTGGAACCCCTGAGAACTGACCTTTCTGCACTCAGATGCACGACGAGCGGGTTTAGGGTTTCAGCGTGTAAGGTCCGATGCGGTGTTCTGGACAAGGTACAGGTTTTCCAGGCAAATCAGTGCTGACCATCTGCCTAGAAGGCTTATGGGTTCTTTTTCTTTTTTCGTCTGAGACTCAACTCCACCAAGTATGCTGAGCAGCTTAGGCCTCAAGACCTAGCCCGCCAAACCCTCACCCTGAAACACCAACATGCCCTTATGTAAGGGGACCCGATTACAGAACCCAAAAGTTCCCTTTATTAAGACCCTCGTATAGAACCCTACAGTACCCTGAAAGCGGACACTCTTATAGAACCCCATAGCACCCTTAAAGGCGGAGAAGCCGGCCAAGGGCAAGGGGAAGAGGCCGGCTGTGCGATGTCAGATTATCAGCTTACGAAAAGTTTAGGGGTTTAGGGGTTCGGGTTCGAAGGTTTTGAGGTTTTAGGGTGTAGGGCTTTAGGGTTGGGGTCAGGGGCTTGGGTTTCTGGGAGTCTGTAAGGGGTTGCTATACGGAATGCTATAAGATGCGCTGCAAGGAATCGGTAAGGATTTCGGGTTCTTGCTAGGAAGAGAGACAGAGCCCAGGATGACGGCCCACAACCATAAACCTTTAATTTACGAATCAAGAGCCAATGTCACTTTTACATCTCAGGGCCTTAGAGCTCTAGGGTTGTTCGTGTTATTTTGGTTTTCAAGGTGGGTGTCCTGCTTCAGGAGTTCGTGTTTCATGGTTTGGGGATTCTAGGTGAATGGGAGCGGTTTTGGGCTTTGGTGACCGCTCAGCGAAAACACTTTGACTGGTGTTCAATAATTTGGCTCTGTTACAGGGAGGGCCATTGAGAAGAGTCTTGAATGGACTTTCTGACAAGGCGGCCCCACGCAGGAAGGGACATCACCTCATGTCTATATTTGGGAACAGGCATTTTGTTTGCAACTAGGCACTGCGAAGCATCCCGATTCTTTGGACGGATCCAACACATAGACACTTTACACAAGGCATATTTTAACCCATGAATGGCAGGTTTCTTTTTTGCAGTTCGCGGTTTGGACCCTTCACAGGGCATGGGCATCATTGCAGGCAGAAGAGAGCCGCTCCAGGAGATTAGCCGCCCGATTGGATTGGAGGCAACTCGCCCGATCGCTCGGCGGAGGAAAACAATCTACATCGTCTTCCTCCAGGGGTTCCCCATAGGGTTTGTAGTGTGTTATATGGGTTGAGTGTCAAGGCACAGGGTAGTTTAGTTTCTTCAATAGGCTAATATAGTTGATAGCGAGTCTGTAGAAGATGTATTGTGGGTGGATCGTGAAGAAATCAGAGTCCGACTGTCACTCAGTTAACGCGATATACTGAATATTGAAGATAAACCCGAGCACTTAGTGTGGCTTTTTGCACTTGTTCTAAGCCTCCAAACCTTAAATCCCTAAAGCCTCTAAGCCTACAGTGAACCCGAACCCCGATAGGGAGCCGACAGCTTGCGACACCAAAAGCCCTCAACCCATATTTTAGGGGTCGAAATAACTGATTATACGTAGTTATCTTATTCCTGAGGGTTCCGAAGCACCCTAAACCCTAAACCCTAAACCCTAAACCCTAAAACGCAAACCGAAGCCCCATTGAAGCTCCCCGGCCCCTCTATACTACACCCCTGTAAGAGCCCTTTTGGAGACCATCCTCTCGAACCTTTCAAAGGCACCCAAGCACCGAGGATCCATGCATCCGAAATAGCACTTGGAGGATCATGGGATCTCTATACGTATAACCTAAGATACTTATATCCTTACTTACTAAGTCGACTTAGTAAGTAAGGTTATAAGTATCTTAGGTTATAAGTATAGTTACCCTAATTATAACCCTAGTTACTAAGTCCCATGAACCTTTAAGTGTATATACGTTGGCCTTAACGCAGTCCCTTTGTAGATACTTCGGGGTCCACGCACAAAAAAAATGGATACATGGACCTTTAGGAAAGGCTAGTTCGCGCCTGTCTTACAAGCCAGACCGGAAGCCTTTGCTGCTGAAGCGGTGAAGATCGTCGGGTTCAGGGTTTAGGGGTGTAGGGTTTAGGGTTTAGGGATGTAATTACAATGTCCAAACCCCAAGCCGAAATCAGTGTTCTCTTTTTGGTTGGAATACATAACACCGTGCCGGTTGCGGGTTGTTGACAATGTGCGACCCTGGCACGCCCCTGAGGCTCAAGTCACCAGGGTTTAATGTGGGATGCCCCAAATCTTAAACTTTACACTTTTAAACCCTGAGCTCCCTAAACCCTAAACCCTAAACCCTGAACTCCCTAAACCCTAAGCCTTCTAAGCTCGAAGCCCCGAAACCCGGAAACCCACTAAGACCTAACCCCGGACACCCCTTAAAAAAAAAAAGAAACACGCCAGGCCTTCAACCCTCAAGCCCCTAAACCCTGAAGCCCCCCCAAAGGCCTGAAGCCCCGAAAGTCCATGTTCAGGGTTTAAGCTTCAAGTTTAGGGTCTATAGGGTTTAAGGAGCTTAGATTCCTGAATTGTCCTCACACCCATGTCAGTATTTGAGCCAGTCTGCTTGCCAGCGCCTCAGACGTACATGTGGTCTTCAGGACTGCCGAATTCAGTGCCCATCATATGCATGAATAAATAAATACATAATTAAATACATAAATATATATATATATATATATACACACACACATATATTCTCAAGTGTGTTATATATATATATATATATATACACATATATATATATATATGCGTACATGCATGCATGGATTTATGTATGCATGTCTGCATGCACGCATGTATGCCTCTGTGTGTGTGTGTGTGCGTATGTATGTGTGGGTATGCAAGCATGCATGCCTGTGTGCATGTACGTATGCATGCACGTATCTATGAAGTTTAAGCCCAGGTCAGATGGCTTGAAAAGCGACATCCGCTCCTTGCTCAAGGATCTCGATCTGCAGGCAATGAGTGGTTTTGTAGTGGTTTAGGGCTTAGGGCGTTTAGGGCTTCGAGGGCTTAGGGTTTACTGTAGGGCGTACGATGGCGTACCTGAACCCGACAAACCTGGTGATTTCCTTGCTTATGGCAGAAATTTCAATTGCTGTTGGGTTTTTAGGGTGTATGTTTTGGACTTGAAGTCTTTATAGCTTCTAGGGTTGGGTTTAGGCCTGCCTTTCCGCAGCATCCTTACGTTTCACAGCCCAGCCATGACAACGGGACAATGCACTGCTTAGACATAATCTGCAGGCACTGGCATCAACGGTCTAGGTAGTGTCGAGGGCAGCATCGTGAATATAGGCTTTATCCCCAAACCAGCAGACCGCACAACTGTCAAAATGCCGCCAGACCAGGCCACGACGCAAACCACAGACTCACACACAGACACACACAGACACACACAGACACACACAGACACAGACACACACACACACACACACAGACACACACACACAGACACACACACACGCCCACCTGTGCAGTTGGGAAAAGAGCCCTTACAACCAACCAAACTAGGAGTCTAAACCCTGAATTACAGCTTGAAAGCAGCATTGCCTAATATAGGGGCCTAAACAAATAACCAATACCATCATGGGGGTTTCTTTTTGTAATTGCAGTAAATGGGCTCCAAATCCTATTCTAATCGTTAAGGCCCCTATAGTATTCAACCTCTGAACCGTAAGCCTTACAGAAGGGTCGATCCTGGGGCCTGCGTTTGTGTATAAGGAGTTTTTGATGTTACGTAGGCCTTTGGATCGGGCTTGTGATGCTTACTTGCTGCTCTTAACCTTCTGTTCACGCATCTTTTGTTGAATTGATTGATGTCTGTATCGCCTTGTCAAGGATTCTTGTCATGGATTCTTGTCGTGGTGTGTTGGTTTGTTAAATTTGTTTTAGTTTTCCTTTACTGTGTTCTGTGTTTGTAAACACGACGGCTGTTTATAAACACAGGCGCTGTTTATAAACAAACGCTTCGCTCGAGGTAGGGGGGAGGGGGGGGGGGCGCCAGAGGTCTTGGGATGGTGGCCAACATCCAACACCTGCCACCCCCCCCCCCCCCCCCCCCCCCCCCCCCACCCCCCCCCCCACCCCCCCCCCCCCCCCCTCCCCCCCACCAGCACGTTCACCACAAGGTACAACCGCCGACCAATCCACCATCCGCCCGAGACGCGCGCAGCCATTCCCAATTGACGCCAACCCTCAAGTCTTAAGTGCTGGTCACAAAACTTTTTCTTAATGGAGGAAAGTGTGGAGTTAATGTGAGATACCCCAATTGCCAAGACCTGGTTGGATAAATTGAAATCAATAAACACTGGTATTTGCGGTGATTTCTGCTTGTCCTTCTATGAACACTTTCACGGGTTGTTTATAAATACCGGGCCTTGCTTATAAACTTGCGGGTTGTTTGTAAACATGTGGGTCGTTTAAGCGCAACAGAAATCGGGCCCGTGTGTTTCTCTTTTGTGCATACAGAGATAAACGCACTGCAGCAGCGTGCGGCTGATACGTCCAGGCTCATCGAGTGAAACCACAAGATGTTTGTGTTTAGTATTTCAACTATACAAAATCTCTTGTAAGGCTATGTGTAGGGATGGAGAGCGTGCTACGGCCTGGACCAAACCGGTTTGAGGAACTCTAGGGGCCCTTATGTGCATCCACATTTCGTTAACCCTATGCCAATGCAATTCGACAGCTAATTAGGCTGAATCTCTACATTGGTGTTTCAAACACTGTTACCAACAGCGGTGTTGGCTAAGCTTGCTTTGGGTAGACAGTCCAGAGTCTTAAAGGCCCGATTATCAGAGCTGCATAGAGAAACTGTCGAGCTTATGTAGCCTACCTTAAGACGTTCTTTAGAGAGTCTTGAATTCATCGATATTTGCAGCGTTTTCTGCTTGTAAGATCTGCTACACAAGAACCCAGATTAAGAGGCTCGACCTACACACTGGTGTGGAGCCTGTTGGAGAGCGATTTTGCACAGCTCGAATAAGCTGTTCCGAAAAACACTTGTGATGCTTGCTTTGTGGTATGCCCTTTACGCGACACAAAACACAAGCTCCTGCTTTGGAGCCATTAATTAACGTTGAAACCCGATAAAAATAAAGCACTGAAACCAAACCCAGGCCCCACAGTCGACCGCTCTCAAGCCTTAACCCCCCAAGCCCTAAACCCTACACCCCTAAACCCTAAACACCAAAGAAGAGGAAGTAGTGCCACCAGGCAGCCGCTGAGCCGGGCCAGACCGAGCCGGAGAGCACGGGGGAAATTTGATTTGTGTCCTTAACTTTTCGGGTTTCTGATTATAGGCGGGATTAGAAGGTGTTTTTTTAGTGGTGTCTTTAACTTTCGGGTTTAAAGTTTTAGGGCCTTACGGTGTATAGGGTTTAGGGTTGGTTTAAGGCTTACAGGTCAGGTTTAGGGTATATAGGGTTAAGGGCTATTTTGGGGTTTAGGCTCTTAGTTCGCGGCTAAACCGTAAGCCTTTGTTTCACCAGTGTTTATTGAAGAGGGGGTTGTGGGCATTGGGTTGGATGCCTCTTGGGGCGGGTTTTGCGGGATGAACCGCTTCAGAGTCTTGGTTTGGCTGGGGGGTGTGGATACGCGCTCTTCAGGTTGGATCAAGGGTTTTGGGGGTCACCAGTTCGTGAGTTTGTTCTCTGCTTAGGTATGCAATGATTCACGGACTTCCTAGATTTACGGTCTTCAAGTGCATAAGTTAAGAAAAACCTAAAACATCCTTAAATCCGTAATTGATCCTGAAATGAAGGGTTTAGGACCTCAGCACCGAAGGTTTTGTCTGTAAGGACCTCGATGCCCCTCTTCTTTGGTGCCAGGAGCCCGGGTCTACTGAGCCCCTGCGCCTCGCGCCGGAGGCTGGATCATAGGGTCACCTTTGGCCCAAAGACCTACTTTCTCAGGATATGTATATATATATATATATATATGAATGTATATTTACATACTGAGATATAGCTATATATATATATATATATCTATATACATCCACATATTTTGATTTATTTATGTATTCATACAGAATCGGCTTTAGGAACTCGTACGCTCATGATGTTGTCGGTTCAGGGGTTGGGCTAGGGATAGGGTCGAGGTTCACTACGGTTTAGGG